AGTTGAAATAAATGTGTAGAGTAATTTAATTTTTGCATCAGAGGTCATCGTGTGGGATGACATTAGGTTTGGGGTTACCATGAAGGGGTAACTATTGCCTGTTGCTAGACTTAGGAATTATTTGTTAATTATTTGCCTTAAATTCTTTGTGAATTTGCTGTCAATTTTTCTACATTATTAGAATTGCATGTGGCCTTAGAAAAGTTTACTGGACTATTCTATGTGAATTATGTTCATACTTTACTTGTGGTCATAATTTGACATTGGTGGCAAATGTAGGTCTAAGGTAAGTGCGAAAAATAACATATATTTTAATTGGGGTAAAATTTGGATATAGTTGAAAGAGATTGTCCTAAGATGATAATAAAAGGAAAGATGAGGATAGAGACAAGGCGAATGTGACTTTAGGGTCGAGTAGTGATCCTAGTGATGTTTATTGAGAGAATAAACATGATCACTGCATTGCATCTGTGTGTAATCTTTTCTGCATGTATGTGGTCACTCAATTATGTTGCAATGTTGATGTTACACTTTCAATAAGTTTGATGTGTGTGATTGCATGAATTAGAGTGATTTATTACTTTGTGTAATATGTTTACATGCATAGTGGGTTAAGTTTTGTGGCATACTCTATTTGCTCTGTGAGTGGTGTGAGAGTGTGGTAGTGAGAAGAAAGTTGAGCAGCCGTTTTTCTCCTTTATCTGTGTGAGCCTGTGTGGTTTGTGAGATTATGTGAGGCAGTTATGTTAGGGTTATATTCTTCCTCTTTGTGAGCCTCCTTTGTGAGTGTTGTGAAGTAACCGACTCTTTCTTCGATTCTTTTTGAGAGTGCCACCTTCACTATTTTCTTTGTGAATTTTTTGGGAGCATTGGTGAGTGGATTAACCTTTGTGGTCACCGAAAGGTGTTGATTTGCCATAGTGAGTTTGAGATGCATTAGCAGTGAGTTGGATATCTTTTGGTAAGGTGGAGTATAGATGCCTAGAGGTGCATTGGTGATATGCACGAGAGATGTAGAGTGTGACATTTGGATCACGAGTGGAGATGTGATCAAATGTGTAGAATCCTTTATCTATGAAAGAGACCCTGTACAGGTGGAGTGTGAGAGAGGCACTTCTATCACTTCTGTAAGGTGGAGTCCCATTATCCACGTAGGTTGGGAGAAGTGATGTGGTGATAGAGGATTATCCCGAGAGTTTAGGATCTATTGTGACTTGCCAGTTAGACATGAGTTAAGTGATTGGTTTAGTGAGCATGGTGGGCGATGAGAGGAGATATGTGTTCTCGAGGTGGGAGTAATACGGAATGGGATAGGATAAGCGTGGTGAGATCTTTTCTTAGGGTCATTTATGCATGTGTTGCATATGTGGTTGACCATGGTTTGATTAACTAGGTGTTAATCTGTGGTTCTATGTGAACGTGATTTTGAAAAGATCTGTTTGTGTTATCCTATATATATCTTCATCGCATGATTATTTGTTCACTGTGAATACTTGTTTCTACTTGGGTATTCTTTACCTTAGTCCTGGTGAGTACATGGAGCAAGTATCGTATGTGTTTCAAGTTGGAAACACGAGGTAAGGTCTGTATTCCAATTTTATTGGATTACCTTGATTGTGCAAGTATAAACTGTGTGTTTTGGTTGCTTGCAGATTATTGGGCATCAAGGTGGAGATTGTTGGGTTTTTTGATACCCAATAATCCGGGCGATGATTTAAAACAGTTGTCGGATTATTTATCGACACCATGGACTTGGCTCGACTCGGAGATGAACTACACTTTTGAATGGTTCGGGTTTGGGTTGGATGATATTTGGTTAGTTAGACCATTTAGTGATTAATATGGAGTTGAATATTGGCCCATTAGTTTAGGTTAATTGGGAGCCCGCTTAGTGAACCCTAGGCCCAATTAGAGTGACCTAAACTAACCTATATATATGTATTTATCTCCCGGCCGTTTTTGGGTGGTGTGTGTGTTGTAGCAATGGAGAGGAGATTTGAGAGAAGAGAGGCAACCGAGAGAGAGGGAAGCCATGTGAGGTTGTGAGTAAGATTTAACCACTGTTCTTCTTCCTCTCCATACCTTTGTGGATTGCTAACACCACCACCCTTCTCCTTTGTGGGGTTTGAGAGAGTTTGGACAGTCCAAAGTGAAGGTGAAAGTCTTGGGTCGAGTCAAGGTAAACCGGTGTTCGTTTGGTTGTTTTATAAGCCTGGAATCAAGATTTACAGAGGGATTTCCGCTACAGCTATTGCTAAGATGGGTGCCAAGGTCACCAATGGACTTTGTTTGTTGATGCTTAACATGGTAGATGTCATTTGTATTACCACAACTACGGGCCTATGGCTTTGTACTGATGTGCCTGGATCGTTATTGTCTCAAGATGTTTTTTCTTGTGGTTCTTGTTGAATGGAGTGGAATCTATTACTTTACAATGAAATTCATTTATTATAGTAAAGCATCTAGTTGCGAAGGTTAAGGTTTAGATTATTTGTGCATGTTCAAAGCTATTGACAGTAAAAACATGATTTAGCTAAACTTAAAAATTACTTTCAAACAACCTTTTCTTTTAGAAATTTATTGATTAGGGCTTTTCTTGTTTACTTGTTTCAACAGTAAATTAGAGGTTACTTTTAAATTAAATAACTTTATTGATTTACTATTGTTGTCAAAAAATTTGTTGTAAAACCCTTCCTTTAACTTTATTTGCCTAATGGACTATCAAAGGGCAAAAGTATAACAATAACAATGAATGAAGATATTTTGGGAAACATTTAAGTTCGGAAAAGTTGGTGTAGAAACAGGATATTTTGAAAAAATCTCAATCAAGTTACTATGTAACAATACTTCTAACTATGGATTCAAGTGATTGGCATGCTAGTCGCTTCTGACATGCTAGTCGTTTCTATGTCACTTTTTTAACAAAAAGATATATGTTGTCACATTCTTAACAAAAGGTGACATAATGAACATGCTAAGCTCTTGTATGTTACAATGTTTCAGCCACTTTTCAACATTACAATCTTTAGCTTTCAGTGAACATATATACTGTAATAATTTTAAGCCCTCATATGTCACATTTTTAATGAAAAGTTGTCACTTTTCGTTAAAAAGTGACACGATGTCACTGGTTTTACACAGGGTGACCACCCAGTGCATTATTGACGCGATCGCCCAGTTTAATGTTTAAGGGCTTGCTGCCCTTAAACTGCTTGGGCAATCATCTGGAAGTTAAAGTTGGGTGATTGTCCAAACTACCAACCTAATTTTTCAAATTCATTTTTAACAAAATGTGACATAATATTACTTTTGAAAAAGTGACACATTATCATTTTTTTTTTTAAACAAAGTGACGCAGTGTCACTGTTTTACACTAGGCGGTCACCCAATGTATTATTGGGCGATCATGCTTAAGGGTGGTCACTTTTTTTTATTGTTTATTACTTTTTTCTTTTGATTTTCGGTGACTCTTTTTTAGCTTGTTACTTTTGTAAGTGCTTGTCACTTTTCTTTTTTCAAATTTTCCGTCAGTCTTTTTTTTAATTTTTTTTATTTTTTTTTTGAGTTTGTCACTTTTTTTAAAATTTCTTTTGTAAGTGCTTGTCACTTTTCTTTTTTCAAATTTTTCGTCAGTCTTTTTTTTTTTTTTTCGAGTTTGTCACTTTTTTTAAAATTTCTGTTTTTTTTTATCATTTTTTTTAGTGTGTAACTTTCTTGAAATATATATTATTTTTTAAGTGACAAACACCAATTTTTAATAAAAATAACATTGTATGTTATTTCTTAAATTGACAGTTAACTTTAAAAAATAATGCAGTGATATTGTGTCACTTTTTAAGCATAAAAAGTAAGTGACAATTAATTTTACACAGTATTTTTTTATTTAACTTTCAACATACTTTTCATATGATTTTTCAAAGAGTACTGCTATTTCCATGAACATTTTTTTATAAGTACATTTCACTCTAAGTTCATTTCTAATAAAATTTTAAAAATTACTATTTACATCCACGTCATATTCAAATCTTGTCCTTATTAAATTTATTCGTTTAAATATTATATATCCACATGAATTTTATATATTCATCCCACTTTTAATACATCCCTATTACATAGATTCGCCAAATCCTTAAAACCATAAACTCTTAAACCAAATGAATGAAATAAGAACAAAGCTAAACTGATTGAACATTAAATTAACATGAAATAAATTCTTTGTCTATTGAAATTTTGAGTATTAGAATGCTTCAAATAACAAATGCTAAATAAAGAAAAAAGAAGAAAGTTTGATTAAGTTGGCTACAATTATTCTTCTTTCTTGATTAATTGATAAAACTGTATCAGATTCCGTTTTGCATTCTTCGAAATCCGATATGATTCTCGGCACATAAATCACATTTTGGGCCACCATCACCTATAATAACATTCATGTATTTTCTTTTCTTTCTATTAGGATTTTAGTTAAGCACAAATGAAAATAAAAACTAGTGAATCAATTTAGAGATATTTATTTTTATTTAATTTTGTTTATGTCTATTTAAGTAAATTTATATAGAATTTAAAATGTAACAAAATTTAATCTTTAAAAGTAGACATATATATAAAAATAATAATGCTATTTGCAGTGAAAACTACCAACAATCGCCCTATGTGGTGTACACTTGGTAGTTTTTCATTTGATGTATAATTCAAAAAATGACTATCATATCTATGTATCAAATATCAAATTGTCAAGTGTATGCCACATAGGGTGACTACTGACAATATTCACTACGAATAGCATTATTCATATAAAAATTATGGATGAAAATAGCGGTACCCTTTTTTAAAATACCCTTAATTTGAATAGTATATTTGTAAGTTTTCCCATGTGAAATTCTACTCCAAATATGCGTGGGCCGTAGTGCGCAAAAGAGTGGGCTTTTAAACTTAAACAGCCCACATACTATCCTCCGCTTTCCGGCCAAGAAGCCCATATAAGCTATAATTTTCTCTCTCCACTTTTTTATTTCTTCTATTACCCGTTTACTTTCCCGAGTCTTGAATAGGCAGAACTGTAAGCCCCTTCACATCCCACGAATAAAAAAGGTGAAATTTATCTCCCCTCTCTCTAAAATTACTTTTTCTTTCTCAAATTGTTTGTCTTAATTCAGTTTATTTGAATTCTTCTGAATACAATCAATAGAAAAATATAAAAATGCTGATTTTTGGGTACAAAAAAGACCCATTTCTTGTTATAATATTTGGGTTCTTAATAATTTTTTCATATTGTTAATGCATGTAATGAAAATAATTGAATTTGAGGAATGCTGATTTTGGGTTTTTAATTTTACTTTTTTATTCTGACATTATACAGTAATCGAGGGAATTTGGCTTTGTTCTGTTAAATATTTTATTGAAGATAAAGCAACGAAAATGGGAGATGAAAAGGATGCGTTTTATGTTGTACGGAGAGCGAACACCTTTGGGGTGTACAAGAGCTTAAGCGATCTTCAAGCTGTGCTTCAATCTTCTGTAATTTTCTGAACCCTTATTGCTTTTCATTTATATGTGTTTTCTTCTGCTGAAAGATACTTGTTAAAGATTAAAGAGGCTTATACTGTCTTTTTAACTTTTGCGTACTTCTTTTTGTTTAGTTTACTGTCGTGGGTGGAGCTGTACGTATTGAAAAATGAAATAAAAATATATGTACTTATACATAGATGCACTTATGACCTAACCCTTAGGATGGGTATACATAGATGCACTTATGACCTAACCCTTAGGATGGGTAAGGTGTGTATACGCGTCTTGCCATTTCTATGGTTTTTATTAATTAGCCTCGACTTTTTGTACTTTTTATAGCATAGAATGTTTTAAAAGGGGATGGATGAGAGACCATTACAAATGAGGGATAATGAAAAAATTGAAGGAACTGATGGGGATGGAGATGACCTGGGAATCTTGTATTTAGATAACTCTCTTAAAATCCTATTAGTACCTTGTTTTATTAAAAAGGATTTTCGCTTATGTTAATTAGTTATAGAAGTTTTCTGACCTTTATTTTTTAAGCCTTTAAGGTGTCACTTGCTTATAAATTTTAGAAGAGAAAACAAATGTAGAAGAAAAAATATACATCTCATATCTTCCTTTGGTATCTGAAATTCAACACAAACATGTTCAAAAGACTATTGGAGTACGAAATCGAACTGGCTACAAACTTATATCTCCTTAATTTTAATAGGTTTTTAGTTCTCTTTTACTGGAAGAAACAAATATCAATTAGTTTCTGTGCACTTCTATCCTTATCTATTTCCTTTTTGCGGTTAAACTGAACCTTAATTATATCGTTACTGTCTTAAGTCTTAATGTACCCTCGTCTACATGAGTGTGCTCATACAAAGGTGTAAATTGACATATTCGATTTTGTTAATTGATTTAGTTCATCTTACATCTTGGTAATTCTCATGGGGTTCTTCTATTTATGGGAGAATTCTAAGATGCACGGACTCTCCTACTAGAGTTGTGTGTCCGTGTCCGTATCAGTGTCCATGTCTGTGTCTGACGCATATTGCATCGTGTCGAGCATCAACATTCTTGCACACTCAAGAAGACTCAAGGACGTGTATCCAACAATCCACATGCTTTTGTTCCCACTTCTATACGTCTTTTAAATTACGAAGTTCGAGGGATACTTCAGAAACATTGCTCTACACGTGTCTGCATGTCATTTGACATGTCCTATATTAAAAATTCTAAAAATAAAGATATAATGCATGAATTTAAAATTTTAATTGGACGTGTTCTGAAAATTTACATATCCTTCTTTTTGAAAAACTACATGTTAGCATGTCCGTAGGTCTGAATCGTGTCTCGTCCACGGAGAACTGAATGTCTTAGGTTGATGAAAGTGAAAACTTTCTCTCCTCTTCTAAACGATATAGCAATTAATGTTACAGAAATTTTAATTCAATATTGCTTTTTTCCTGCTATAACTTGCTCCAAATATTTGAAATGTCAATTAATTAATCTCTCTCCCATACCATTTTTTTTCTCCATTAGGTAAATGATCCTTTGCTAAGTGTGTTCAAAGGATACAGTTTATCTAGAGAAGCAGAGGATTATCTTTCCTCTCATGGACTAAAGAACGCGATTTACTCCATTGATGCCAGCGATGTGCAAGATGATCTCTTTGGCCAACTTGTCACTTGCCCATTTCGGGTTAGATGTTTCATTTTGATTGCTATTGACTTTCACTTGATGTTTCTTAGCTCTTATTTTATAGCATACTGTGGTTTGTTTTCATCATGATGATGATGATGATGATGTTAGGCCCCTATTCCTGGCTACATAAGTCCATATTTTAAGTATGTAGTCAGTAGGCAATAACATATATAATTAGATGTTATGTTGGTGTACTATTTTACTTATCATATGTACGAGCAAGATATAGGCATCCTCTGACACGTGTTATTTAAATGAAATATTGGTGTGATTGAGGATATTGATTTTTACAGCACCCAAATTCTTCTAAAGATAAAGCTGTTAGCAAGAATTATCCAGAGAAGAGGCCACAGGTAATTACTGGATCTGAATAGTTTTCAAATAGGAGACTTAACGTGATCCATTATGCAGCCATGATCCTAGTTTTAATTTAATAAGCAAAATTGATTTATTTATTGGCGCAATTATATTCCTACAAGAGGTTTGCTGCTTTCTTGATATTCTTTTATATTTTTTGGCAGGAGATTGTTGGATCAGCTTCATTTGCTGATAGTTCTCAGCAAAAGCATGTAAAATTAGATAATTTCCTTCCGGTTCCGCCAGTTTCATCTTATTGTGTAAGTTTCTGTCAAAATGGTAATTGTTATATTTGAATTTTATTAATACTATCATGCATGGTTCATTATTTTGTTTCCTGATTGATTCATGCTTGAATCTGGAGTCATGCTGGCTTAAAAGTGTGAAAAATATTGTCGGTTTGAATTTGGATATTGATGTATGTGTCTTCAAATTCTATAATTTGATATCTCTGCCTGAAATATTTATTCCTACAGGAATGTTTTTTCCCTGAGCCTTAATGTGGAACATGTACCCGAAGTTGGGGTGTAACTTAACTCTTGCCAACAAAGACAGCCAAAGTAAATATAAGCCTATAAATGTCAAAATTTTCCCAGTTTAAGTCTATACCAATATTAATCAATATGCAGAAAGCAATCCAATTTGTCTGCAGTTGATGCAGTAGTAAAGACTAATACACTAGAATAATCCATTTCATCACTGGAATTGCTTGTAACATTGTATGATTGCATCCTATTTGTATATATTGTATGATAGCATCCTATTTGTATGTTTGTACCACAGGATATGATATTGCTACTTCCTATATTCAACAGTCCAATTTTGATGTTTTTGGAGTTATAATTAGTTTCCATATGGTGTTGGGCAAGAACCAGGTTGCTTGCAACTTGATTCTGCGGTGCATGACAGGAAATGAAAAAATTTACTTCCAACCATATAAGGTGTTGGCAACACTTTTGCCTTACTGCCATATTTTAGATGCTTGACGTCTTAACTATTGAAATTCTATCTAGTTTTTGGATTTCTTGGCCATTAGCTGTCCATTGTAAATCCTATGCGTTCTCCTTCTCGTGTTTTCATCGTAGAAAATATGTTGTTTTATTCTGAGTTTTTTCATTTCTACTTTTACGTACAGAGTTCCTGTATTCTTGAGTTTGATGGCGCCTCGAAGGGTAATCCTGGTCTAGCAGGTGCTGGAGCTGTGCTGCGGGCTGCAGACGGAAGCATGGTATACTCTTTTATCTGGAGGGCTCTATCGTTTTTAATATGCTTGACCTTGAATTTCATTCTGATAGGTGTTTCGATTGCGTGAAGGCATGGGTGTTGCCACTAATAATGCTGCTGAATATCGAGGTCTCATTTTGGGATTGAAGTATGCAATTTCAAAGGGTTTCAAACATATACGTGCTCAAGGAGACTCGAAACTTGTCTGCATGCAGGTTCTCGTTTATTTTTTTTATTACCTTTGATTTATCATATCTTCATTTCTGTTCTTCTCGAATAAAACTTATTGCCAGCAAACCACCCCCAACAAAAATAGAAATCAGGACGACTTTTGAAAATTAACTCAAAAGATACTTTGGCTCTGAGAAAAACTTATGATCATTAGATGTGTTATATAATAGGACCTACTTCGCCATGTGGAGCAGTAGGTGCCATTTGTTCATTGCTCTCGTATTACCTGTCTGGAAGATTGTGTTCCC